GACCAGCTATACCTCTAACTATATCTTATCCCCTTGTTACGGAGACTAGTAAGGAGAAATTACAGTTATTCAGAGTTGTATTATACACAAAAGTACTCCGCATATGCAATCCTCCTCATTATCATATATCTTCTAGATATTACTATTGAAGTGATAATTAGTATCGTAGGCCCGTCCTATGATACTGATCAAGCTTTGCTGGAATGGATAAGTGCTTCCAGCTGATCTCCAAGTTTGCTCACGGGTGAACCGTAATCGTACCGTGAACAACACGCCTACAGGAGTCACTTCCCGATTGTCTTTACAGCCCTCAAGTCTTCTCTTTTCGGAAATCTGGAAGGATCATGATTCGGTATGCACTACTGATGCTTGTGCTCGCACTTGTCGGAAGCGTGAATACTGTTTCGGCAGCTACGGACGCTAACAGGATCAATGTCGCTCGTGAACTACCATCCAGCCCAGGCCAACTGGCTCTCATCCCCCCTCAAGACTCCGCCGGCCAGGAGACTAAAAGGTTCCTTCGCCAAGAAACGAAGACCACCGCGGAAGAAGTTGTGAATAATGACTCTACGGAAGAGCGAGGGTTTATCGGTACGCCCTTGAAGAATGCTCTGTATAAGATTCTTGCAGCATTTGGCGTTAGGCCGCAAACGGTCTCCGTGCAACTGGGTGTACGCACTGGCAGAGCTAATGCTTTGTACAACCGGTTTTACCACAGCTACAATAGGTGGTATGCTACGCACGGACCCAGGCCTTACATGTACTAAAATGGAAAGCGAATGGGAATGGAAGTTTGCATTTCTGAGTCGGCCAATTCGTGTTCCTACCTCCGTGCTAACTCTCGTCGAAGCATACATGCAAAATGCTTGTAGCAGCGTCAACAGCCACGATGGTAAGCATTACCAGTACAGGGGTTGGCACAACTTTTACTTGACCGAGACGGGCTGCGGATTTGGTGTGTAGACCATTCCTTTAGTTGATGGTAAACGAAAGTAGTGCGGGGCGAATCTACAGAAGCGAGAAGTCCGTTCGACCAGTGCCACAACGACGTTCATTTCGGGTCCAGTGGATAAACAGCGGACCCAGTGAATGAGCTGGAATGGCCAGTGTTAAGAGCGTTAGATAACCTGAGAAAAAAATCATTACTTGAAGAGTACTTGGTTTTGTTAATAGTTTTTTTGGTGAAAAAGCAACAAATTTCGGTCAGCGACGATCACATCAGTCGTCAAGATGGCGCCTCCGCTTGTGATCGTGAGCTAGTGTCACCTTCCTGGACTCGTCCGTTGATTTTCCTTTGCAAAAGCGTGCAAATTCAGCTCCTTGGCATTATTG